TCACAAAGTATTAACCAATTTCCTTTTTAAAACAAATAATTTTAACACGTAATCATTTTAAAAAAGGAACAACGATAATATGACAATTTATAATTGTTAAGTAATATTAACTGAACGAATTTTTTCTAATCAAGGTAGTTCTAAATCCTCAATAATAATGATGCCATGGATTATTATACAAAAGGAAATATAATTTTAAAAAAAAGGAATATTACTTTTATAACACAATGCTTTTAAATTTATTTTTATAAAGGGAATTTTTAAAAAAAAGGAATATTGCTTTCAAAACACAATGCTTTCAATTCGTATGGAGTGTACTAATTATTTTGGGTATAAATAAGTACTATGAGTAGTCATTGGAAACCTCCAAAAAATTTTCAAAAATAATTAAGTTCCATTTTTAACCTTTTTTTTGTGCAAGCGTGAAGTTAATATAGCTATTATTTTTATAGTAATTAACGTGAGTAATATAAAATGGTAAGCATGAGTAGTATAAAATGGTAAACGTGAGTTTACCTTTTTTAATAATTAACGTATTAAAAAAGGTAAGTTATACAATTCCAAAGCGTAAGTTTTTTATAAAGGTAAGTTATACAATTGCAAAGCGTAAGCTTTTGTCAAGAGAAAATAATTAAAAAAGGTAAGTTATACAATTATAAACCCAATTTCGTAAAAAAATAATTATGGTAAGAATAATTATACACCCAATTTTGAAAAACTTTAACCCTTCTTATTATAACTAGTATCACACCCGTGCGCTGCACGGGTCATACTCACATTACTAAAATAAGATCATTTTTAATGATAAATTATGATATGTAATAAAATACTATAAAGATTTTATTATTTTATGGTACAAAAGTTTTTTGCTTAGAAATTTCAAACGACTTTTTGTAAACTGCATTATTCGTACAATTTATGGGAACATTGTGTTCGTTGCATATCGAAATCTTCAAGCCACTATAATTTGTTACTCTATTACTATTATTACGATTATTATTACTCTATAACTTATCTTTATTATTATTACGTTTATTATAATGATTATTATTATTATACGGTACCATAAAATTACCATATTCTTTTTATTCTTTCACATGCTACCTTTCTTATTATATACATGGTACCAAAATCTACAACGTATGAAATTGCCTTATTAATAATTAATAACTATAAATTAAGGTTTCACATGTTACCTTTTTATTGCACAATACCGAAAAATATAAGGTATGAAATTACCTTAATAATAATTGATAATTAATTTTATAATTTATAATTTTGGTAAAAAATATATAAGGTGTGTGAATATATTTTTTTAAAATAAAGTGAACACTTTGATTTATTTTATACATGGTAATAGCACAAAACTAACATACCTTGATTATTATTATGTTTATTATTATGATGATTATTAGTATACGGTACCATATTATTTTCATATTATTATTATTATTCTAAATGTTACCTTTTTTATTACACGTACAAAAAAAATATAAGGTATGAAATTACCTTATTAATAATTAATAATTAATATTATAATTTATAATTTTGGTAAAATATATAAGGTATGAGAATACATTTTTTAAACTAAGTCAACACTTTCATTTATTTTATACGCAGTAATAGTACAAAACTAACATAGCTTTATTACTATTATTACGTTTATTATTATGATTATAATTATTATTATTCGGAACCATATTATTACCATGTTATTATTCTTTCATATGTTACTTTTTTATTATACTCGGTACAAAAACTTGTAAGGTATGAAATTATAGAAATCATCTTAAATAGGACTAAAACATAGAGAAAAGTACCAAAATAGGGCTTTCATGTTTTTTTCCCTGGAATAGGACTTTGCACTATGGTAATGTGACTTTGCATTGTGGTAATGTGGCAGTGTACATGTGCAAATTACTATACTTTTTTGGTAATGTATATGGCCATGACACCATGTTTGGTAATGTAAGTCTTATTTCCAGAATAAAAACATAGAAGTCCTGTTTTGGTATATTTTCAATATTTTAGTCCTAGTTTAGTCTTTCTCCCATGAAATTAACTTATTAATAATTAAAGTTTCACATTTACCATTTTTATTACAATGTTCCAAATTTTGTGAGGTACGAAATTAATTCATTAATAATTCATAATTTAAAAATAAGTTCCACATGTTACATTTTTTATTATACAACGGTACCAGTAATAATTATTATGTTTATTGTTACTATTATTATACGGCATCATATTATTACCATATTAATATTAAAGGTTCACATGTTACCTTTTCTATTATTATTATTATTATTATTATTATTACATGGTACCATAACAATTAATAGTTTAATAATTAATAATAAATATGAAATAAAGCCGAGAGAGCAAATAATTATGAAATTACCTTGTACACGGCAGTTGCCATTTCAAGTTTTAGCACTTATCTTTTGTGACTAAAATGTTTAGGTGGGAAAATAGAATGGAGAATTTCCCTCTTTTTAAAAATAGTATAGATATAGATGAATGTCGTCTATCAAAGGTAGTAACTGGATGTCTTTAAAATCCATGAATGTATATCAAAATTTTGAAAATTGTTCCAAAGATAATTTATGAAGCTTCGTCTTTCCAAAAAAAGACTATCATAAAAGGGTGGGAGGTCGTCTTTGTGTTTTGTAGGTTGCGTTGGACTTTAAACTTATAGAAACCATAAACATTGTTTTCTTCGAGGTCATTCTCAAAAGTCTCGATATTTGAATCTCCTATATATCAACGCATGAATCCGATTTCCTTGTAAATGCATCTAAGTAGTTAATGTAATCAATAATTCTCATTGTATCGTATACTGAAACTGAGTCGAGGGAAAATTGTATCATACTTTGTCATCATGAAAAATGACGTCAAAGATTGTGGCGTTCGATCATGTGCAGCTGTTCGATAAATATGTATATCGCGAACTGATGAACTCTTACCAGGAACGGGCCAATACCATCGTCAACTTCGTCTAGTGTGGACCACACACTAATTATTCCTTATGTGGTTTGTATTAAAGAACGGAAAAAGTAAATTTACGATGCGAATGTGAGTTTACAACCATGGAAAGTCATGTTCTATTTATACCCAAAATAATTAGTACACTCCATACGAATTGAAAGCATTGTGTTTTAAAAGTAATATTCCTTGTTTAAAAATTCATTTTATAAAAATAGATTTAAAAGCATTGTATTTTAAAAGTAATATTCCTTTTTTTAGAATTTACATTTCCTTTTGTATAATATTTCGTGGAATCATTATTATTGAGGATTTAGTATTACCTTGATTAGAGAAAATCCATTCGACTAATATTAATTACAAATTATAAATTGTGTCATATTATCGTTGATCCTTTTTAAAATGATTACGTGTTAAAACTATTCGTTTTAAAAAGGAAATTAGTTAATCACCACGGTTAATACCGTGTGATAAAAAAGGAAATGTATTTATTATAGCTTTTAAACCAATTTTTTAGATTAATAATAACAATAATTATTTTTTAGATTAATAATATCATGTTTTTAAAGGCATTATTTTGTGTGAAAAGTAATATTAATATTTTAAAAAATAACGTTTTCTTCTGTATAATATTTCGTGGCATCATTATTATTAAGGAATTGAAATTAACTTAATTAGAAAACATCCGTTCTGTTAATATTAATTACGAATTACAAAAGAAATTGTGAAATAATGTTAACTTTTTTAAAAGTACTATTTCCTTATTTAGAACATTTACCTTTCATATTACCTTATATATATGGTTTAAATCGGTGCATTAAATAACATCCGGATTACATGTTTTCTTTTTTATAATATTCAGTGTCGTTATTATTACTAAAAAATTTAAATTACCTTAATTTAAAAAAATTCATTCCGTTAATATTAGTTCAAAATAGCAATTGTTTGATATTACCATATTGCTTAAATCACCACATTAAATAACATACGTGTTTTAATGCCTATTTTCCTTTAATAGAATATAATAATTCGGTATTATATTAGCAGTACCAAATTCTGTATAAAATATAATATAATTATTAGCATTTATTAATTACCAATTTAACTTTAGAATTACCAAAACTAATGCCTAGCACTTTTGGGCGGGAAAACACAAAGTTGACTTCACTTCTTTTTAAATAAAGTATTGATATAGATTTTTTTAGATTAATTATTATTATTATTATTATTTAGATTAATAATATCATGTTTTCAAAGGCATTTTGTGTGAAAAGTAATATTAATATTTTAAAAAATAACGTTTTCTTCCGTATAATATTCCGTGGCGTCATTATTATTGAGGAATTGAAATTAACTTAATTAGAAAACATCCGTTTTGTTAATATTAATTACGAATTACAAAAGAAATTGTGAAATAATGTTAACTTTTTTAAAAGTACTATTTCCTTATTTAGAACATTTACCTTTCATATTACCATATATATGGTTTAAATCGGTGCATTAAATAACATCCGGATTACATGTTTTCTTTTTTATAATATTCAGTGTCGTTATTATTACTAAAAACTTTAAATTACCTTAATTTAAAAAAATTCATTCCGTTAATATTAGTTCAAAATAGCAATTGTTTGATATTACCATATTGCTTAAATCACCACATTAAATAACATACGTGTTTTAATGCCTATTTTCCTTTAATAGAATATAATAATTCAGTATTATATTACCAATACCAAATTCTATATAAAATATAATATAATTATTAGCATTTATTAATTACCAATTTAACTTTAGAATTACCAAAACTAATGCCTAGCACTTTTGGGCGGGAAAACACAAAGTTGACTTCACTTCTTTTTAAATAAAGTATTGATTGATATTAATATTGATAGCCTATAGCCTATTACAATTTTATATACTATAAATACGGTAATTTTCCAGGCCAAGGTAGTAAGATTAAGGGGTAAGCACTGAAATGGCACTACTGTATATGATTTAATACCTATTTAGCACTGCTGCGAATATAATTATTTCCGTCATTTTGGAGGACGCTTAATTCCGGTTTTGTCCCTGGATATTAAAGAGGTGGGTAACTGATTTGAACCTGGCAGTGGGTTTTTCCGATTTCTGAGGACGGCTATTCACGCGCCAGCTTTGCTATCAAGGCTGTTGCATGCTTCCCGATTTTTGAGGTCGGAGATTTAGCCGGTTGTTTCGCACTTCTAATATTATAAGCTTGAAACATGAAGTGTGCAGAGCTTGGGAACCCTGATAGTCCTCATCCGGTGAGAAGACGCAGTCTGAGACTAGCAATGGCGAAAGAGGAAAATTTGCCCAGTGGTGGAGAAGCATTGTCAGCGGAGGATGAGCTTGATGAAGTTCCGCTGATTAAGAGAATGGAGAAGGTTCAGGTATGGTCTGGCATTCCGTATGTGTTATTATAGACTTCTCAAGATTGAATTTTGGCAGTATACATGGTCGTGGTCAGCCTTCAAATATGAGTGGGTTGGGGATTTGAGAGTTAGTTTGAAATTTGTTGGTTTATGGGTTTTCAAATTTTACCTGAGATGTGCAATGCCGTAATTCAGTTTTCACAGAGTTGTTGATTAATGTACATGAACAGGTCTTTTTTTGGTTTTTTAGTCTTGCAGTGATTGAGGGTTTTTTATTTTTTTGGTTTTCATGTACAAATGCATTTTATTACTTGCCCCTGAACCTAATTGTTTTCGCATATTGCAGTGTGTAGTTTATTATGAAATCATCCAATATAAAATCGGATGTTTTCGCATATTGCATTGTGTAGTTTATTTGGTGGGGCTTCTTTTTTGTGATTGATTTGCTTTGTGTCATAAAATTGAGTATGTAGATAGTCACAATGTTCAGTTCAGTGTTGGTTTTGCGCTCACTTTTTTGAAGATTACCGGGTCCCCCCACATATTGTTTCGATATGTGGGGGTGTGAATAATATTGTTGATGTGGGTTGTGTTTGGTTTTTTTCTTGTATATGGTGTGTGTCCTGTTGTGCAAGTGTGTGTGGGTGTATCCACTTAGAGGTGTTGATGGTGTTCTTGTAAATGGCATTGGGTGTTTATTTCTTTGCTATTTTGAAAATGGTGGTTGTGATCCTGTCATTCCTAATGGTTTTTTTGAACGGCTGTATTTTTTCAACTTGCCCCTCCGAAAGCATTGTTTTGTTCCGTATGGCTTGTGTGGTTCATCTCCTGCGGGTACCTTTTTGGTGCAAATACATGTTTTTATGTTAAAAGGATTTTTTCAGATAGTCTCAATATTTAGGTGAAGTTTTGCTTTCAATCATTTTTTTTGGATTATACAAACTTGTTTGGGTGCATTGATTGTAATGATGTTTTGGATGTGTGCTCTGATGTGGAAGTATAGGTGGTGGTTGTGTTTAGGTGTTGTGTTTGGCACTGTGGGATTTTCGTGTGTGTGGCATTGGAAGTTAATTTTAGTGGGTGCATTGCAATATTCTTTGACTTCACATTGCATTATGTTCGTCTGTCTAGCTGGGGTATGAATATATGTGGCAGTGGGAGTTTGGTTTTTTGGGTTTGACTTCACATTGCATTATGTTTGTGTGCCTGACTGGTATAATAATATGTGTGGCAGTGGGAGATTGGTGTTTGGGAGTTACTTTGTTTTTTGGAATTATGGGTTTACTGCCTGTCTTCATTTTAGTGGTCTATGGTCTGTTCTATCTATCTGGCAGTGTAGTCTGTTCTTCGTGTCAATCGATAGATCAGAATGTTGCCAACAGTGGGCAGTAGGTGTTGGTGTGTTCTGTAAACACCTTCTGAGTTTTTTGATTTATTTCATGTCTATCATGTGTTAACATTTGGGACATTTATTTTTGGTGATGTGCAAAGGCTGGATAAGGGTGGTTTACTTGATGGTCGGATTAATACATACTGCAACGTTAATGAGGTTTCAAGGTAGATTAGATCAAAACTAAGTCAGGAGGAGGTTAATAGGTTCCGGGCTTCGGCGTTTGGTGTTCTCTTGGATGTTTTAGAATGCCCATGGATTAGCGGGCAGTTACTCATTCATTTTGTTGGTAGCTGCGTGAGGTCTGCAGATGGTGGTGGGAGGAAGGACGTGTTGAAATTTCAAATCCTTGGGCATGAGGTCGTTTTTACGAAGGCACACTTTCACTTGATTACTGGGTTATAAATGGGTGGATTAAGGGGGCGAATGGATAATGGTGTATGTGGTCGGTTTGCGTCACGGTATTTCCCCTCCTGCAAATTGGTTAAGCGAAGAGACATCACAAATGCTTTCATCAACTTTGATCGGGAGGCGCCGAATACAATGCCAAATGATGTCCTAAAGATGGCTCTGATTTATGCGTTGGCGAATTCATTTCTTGGAAACCAGCCTTATGTCAATTTGCCGATGAGTTATCTGAACCTGGTTGATGATATTAATGAGTTCAATTGTTACCCGTGGGGGGATGACGTCTGGTCAGAGCTAATTGATCATGTGTATCGGTGTGCGGTGTATATTGAAAAAGGTGGTAGCACAAGGCCAACGTTTGGTGGCTACATGTTTGCGTTACAGGTGTGGGCATTTGAGACATTCCCATCGCTAGCAGAGGTAGAAATGTGTGTGTTAGATTCTGGAGAGGTGAATTCAATACCCCAGTGTTTGAGGTGGAAGGTGTGTGCAAAGTTCAACGCTACGAAAGTATGTGACGCACTTTTTAAGACTAGGAAGGTTAGGTGTTTAGTTTGATTATTGGTTTTGTGGATGTTTTTTCACTGTGGATGTTTTTTGTTTATTAATTATGGTTTTCACTTTCAGGTTGTAGTGAAAGCCGTTGAGCCGACAGCCGCTGAGATGTTGGTGGACAATGTGAAAGAGCTTTTCAAGGATGAACCCACTGCTTTGGTGAAGGGGAAGAGGAAGTTGTCATTAAGTGCTTCCAAACGGGTTCGGAATGTGAGGGAGAAGCAGGTGAATATACGCGATGCGTTGGGGAAGATTAAAGCTGAGGGAGTGCCGTCTGGAAGTGAGATGTTGCCCGAGGTCAAGAAGGTTGACGTGGGAAGTGTGAAGGGTGCTGATAATCTGGTGGGTCATAGAGGCAAGAAGGAGGGCGTGGCAGCAAGGGGGTGTGATCACCTGAATATAGAGGAAGAGATTAAAGAGATCAAGGAAAAATAAGCAGTGCAAGATAGGAAGCTAGATGAAATTTTAGGCATTCTTCGACAAAAAGCTGCGACTGTTGATGTTGGATCAGCTTCGGGGAAGGGGTCTCTGCTGGGAGGCAATGAGGAAGTGAAGGTGCAGGTGGCAGGACCCTCTGGTGCGGGGGATATCGATGTTGGAGTTAAGTGTGGGGATGATCTGGAGTTGAGATTTGATGCCGGTGGTCCATCGTTTGACCTTCTGACCCAAATCCCGAAAGTAAATACGATTGCTGATGACGTGCCAAATGACAGATCTGGTAATGTATCGGTGGCAGAGGGTAGTGATGATGCAATGCAGGAAAAGTGTTTAGATATTCCGTACACTGAGACACAGTACGATCCATACGTCCTTGAGTTGAGTGACAGGGAAACGAAGAGGGTGCTTATTTCTTTACAAAATGCCAAAATTGTAAATTGTTGAGTTCATATGTTTTTGTTTTTTTTGTGCTAAGTAACGTATTGTAAAATTTGACAGACTGATATTTGAATTGTAATTGGTTTTGAACAGCAGGCTCCTCCGATTTCGTGTGAACTGGCTGTAGTGGAGTGTGCGGCGGATGGAAGATGCAAGAAAAGCATAGAGGGTGGTGAGCCTGTCATGAAAAGTGGAGACATTACAATGCCAAATCCTGTGCCTGTACCGGTTAATGTAGATGCTGCATTTGGAGTTGGACATGTATGTACATATATTTGGGAAAAGAATAATACCCTTTCAGTGATGTGGTTTTTGGGATGTGTTAAGCATCGTTTGCTTTTTTCATTATTGACAATTTATATTTAACATCGTAATTTCACAGTGGTCAAGTGGTTCGAACAAAGTTAAGCAGGGGCATCGTGTCAATGATGGCACAGAACGGGGCAGCATGGGTGACGACGATTTTGACAGAATATTCACTAGCAGCAGGGTCGGGAGTGGGGAGTAGAGAGGGAAGGGTGTTCAAGACCCTGTGGTGGTTAGTTTTTTTGGATGTAGTTACAATGATAAAATTATTATACACTATTCTAGACTATGAATTAATAACTAGGCGTAATAAGGTTCTGGCAGTTGGTTTGTGTACTACGGTATGATTGTTTTCCCCTGTGCCATTTATGGTTGTTATTATTTTATTAGGCGTTTTCTACGGCTTCAAACTCCAACAGTGCATGCGTTGAGATTGACCGGCCTAAACGGGTTCACAAAAGTCCGGAAAGATATACTCCATCGGAGGCCGAGCAAGACAGGAAAAGGCGCAAGCTTGAACGGATAGAGCGTGCTAGGGAACGTCATACCCGTGATGTGATGGCTGTGTGTTATGGGCCATTTTCAGAGGATTCGAATGAGATGCCTGCGGTGGAAGAAGTAGAGAAGGTGAGAGGATTTTTGAATGAAGGCTTGCTGAAAAGGCACGATCGGGGGAACAAGACATGTAGGTATACGACCAAGGTGGAGGACCTGTCAAAAAACCCTATTGTACTAGATGGTTTTACGGTGGATAGCAAGACATGGCTATATGAGCTCTTTACAAACACAGAGTGGTTGCGCAGCACGGTATGATTTTTGTTTAATTTTATTGGTTGTTAATTTTAAGATGGCATGGGGATTTTTTTTGGCAGTGGGGTGTTATTAAATTTGGAATACATTACAGTGCTTGTGACATAATATGGATGGGTGTGTGGTTGGATGCGTATTAAGGATCGTAAATGGCACGGGTGAGGTATTTGAGGGGATCGTAGCATTATAGCGAATGTGGCCTGATTTATCAGTGGACACCAGGGTGTGCGGGTGGGCAGTGGGACATATATGGGCAGTGGGTACGTTTGGAATTTGTGGCAGTGCGTTTGGTGTTAGGATTGTGGGGTCTGTTATTGTATTGTGTTCTGTTTCTTAAATGAGTGTGGCTTGTGTGCATGCTTTATTCGCTAGAGATGTAGATGGTTTTTTTGGTATTTGACTATTGGCATCTGTGTCAACTTTATTGTTATTCAGCATGTTGAAATAGCAATGTATTTCCTAGAAGTGAAGGGCAGGCAGTATGATCTATTGCAGTTGTACACAACAACAACCCCTTATTTCTTACAAGGGTTGTATAAACATCAAGAAAGGGTGAATGTTGGCAAGGCAAGGAAGAAGGAAGTCATTAGTAATATGAATCTAACAGCTGAGGTGAAGGGTTTGGCGCAGGAATATTCTAGGCCATGGTCTGAATGTGATTTCGTACATATGCCCTTAAATACCGGTGACCACTGGATATTGCTGGTACTAGAAGTCGAAGGAAGGACTATACGCGTATATGATTCGAAAGGAATGAAGGGAAAAAGTTGTCGGGCTTTTAATGAATATGTCGAGTGTATCACAGAGTTGCTGCCAGTTCTACTTGATTTATTGAGCGTGTATGACGAGCACTCTGATGGGCCGATGGGGAAAAAGAAGTTCTCTATCAATGTCATTGACGGGTGTCCCCAACAAAATGATGGGTATGTGCTAGAATTTCAGTTTGTGTAGCACTTCAGTTACATTTCAATTAGTTTGCATTGGTCAGGTGGTTAGTGCGGTAATTATTGTGTTTAAAAATGCAGGTCCAACTGCGGAATGTTCATGTTGAAGTTTGCTGAGTTCTTAATGATGGACCGAGAAATTTCTGATGTGCACTCCCGCGATATGCAGGCTTACCGGGAGAAGATGACTACGGAGTTCATTGTCTACAGTAATGAGCAGAAAGAGCAAACCAAAGACCTCTAGTCATCTCATGATTTTATTTCTCGGTGTTTTGATATCATGGGACGTTTTGTTTTTGTTTTTGTTTTTTTGGGTGGTGGCAGATACTTGTTATTGTTAAAGCAGTTTAAGTACGCTTTGTGTTTGTGGAGATTGGAAGTATGGTTTTTGTGTGGATTTGTTAAGGTTTTTTGTATTTTTGATTTTTATCGGTCAGAGACAATGTCCTGTGGTGTTTTATATTGCATTAGTCTTTCATTTGCGTCATTTGTTTTGGTATATGGTGTTTGGCAGAGTTTGTTATGGTAATGGTTTGCTTTCTACTGTTATAAACTGATAACTGTGGGCATATGTTGGGTTTTACCCTGCGGCTGAGGATTTTGATTATGAAATGGAATGAAACACTGCTAGTTTTGTTGTGGTAATTGTGGGATGGTTTTGGGGTGGGATTCTAGAAATGTCGTATGGACGGTCTAAATTTTTCCTGCAAAAGGATGTGACAGACTGCATTTGTTGTGATGGGTTGGTTGGGTGGCCTTGTGTTGTGAGCTTGCATTGTGATAGCGTAAGTTTGGGATACTGTTCCAGATAGTAATTGGTATGACAGAGTTAGTTTGGGATTGAGGGGTTTTTTTTGTCACAATGTCGTTGTATGTGTTTGGAGTTTATAAGCAATGTATCTATCCCCGCCAAATAGGTGTCGTTAATGGCGTGACAAGCTTGAGTTGTTGTGTCCGTTCCGTGTAACGTTTTAAGTGTGAATTTAGTATTTGAATTTTTAGGAATTTAGGAGTTTATAACAGATATAGTAAATGTGACTAAAGGTGGGCGCTGGGTGGTGTTATGGGGGCGGATTTCGGTGCTTATATTTGAATGCCCTGTTGGTTGGATTACAATGCGAGTGAAGAAGTTCATAGACGGGCATTCTTTATTTTGGGCTACACCGCCTTGTAGAAAAATCTTGTATTAGCTAAGCGGGCTAGAGGATATGGTTGGTTGGTGACGTTGGGTGGAGCAGTGAACCATCTCAGTTTTTTCGGATATGTGGTGGCACACTGCCTCATTGGGGTATGTTGTGATTAAATCCCGGCTAGTTTTATGTTGGTATTGGGCATGTGATTTTGGCCAGTTTTTTTTGGTAGCCAGTGTAGGTCGTTCATGATTGAGTGCAGTGTACCTTTTTTTAATTTGTGTTTGCAGTGTAACGTTTTATGTCTGTAGTTGGTGTGTAATGTAAAAAGTGAAAAGGTTTTATGAAAAATGTGATTTTATTTGCAGTGTGTAATGTGAATTTTTATTTTAATTCTCGGTGGGTGTGATAGAGGTGGTGTGCAAGTAACTTTGAATTGTTGTGGTTGAGTTTATTACATAATTTGGCTACATTTAAAAAGAGAATTAATGAATCTCTGTATCATAGGGGTTGGGTTTTTAAAAACACACTAACACCTTCCAAGAAGTATGTATCACATGCATTGAAATGTATGGAGTGTGTTATTTATTTGGGAATGTATGGAAGGTCATCAAATATTGAAGCGGGAGCTTGTAAAAATATACTCCCTCCATCCATGTATGATCTTCCCATTACGCGTTACGAGGCTTGACCGACTTTATTTTCAATTCAATTTAATTGATTATAGGAGTAAAATTTTAAAATAAAATTTATATAGTAATAAACTACATGAAAAGTTCTACAAAAGTAGAGGTGACAAGACTATATTATTTTATGAAATGACTAGTAAAATTGAGCAAACAAAGTGAATAAAGTTTGACCCTGTGAATAGTGTCTGGGAAGATCTATGGTGGACAGAGGAAGTAATAAACATTGTCAAGTTGGTATTGGGTTTTTGCATGTCTTTAAATTGTGTCCCATCTTCAAGCACCGGGTACACTTCTGCTTTTTCCGACCTTTGCCGAAATGAAATTCACCAACGGATGGTAGCCTCCTCTTCTTTGGCCTCCCAGGGGGCGCTTGTTGCATAATGGGGGCTTGCAAACCATTGTTTTGACATCAGAAGGGATGTCCCATGTGGACTTGTCTCCTATTGGGTGCACAATACCGCTGTAGGTGGCTACCAATGCTTCACGTTTGTAGTATGGGGAGATGAAATTATAACATGACAGTCCTGGACGAGATCCTATTGCTGCCACAGCGTGGACACATACAAAATGGTCCAATTGGAAGTCCCCGCACGTACATGACTTGTCTCTGAGGTTTACCACAAATGTCTGGGTCCACCTGTCGACAACTCGAACTCATATGGGCATGCTGGCTTAACCTATACAAATTTGGAATGTGCGGTGTATAATTGTATGCAGTAAGTGTATTGCCGTGTAATTGTATTCTTTAATAGTTATACTGTATGGATAGTTAGTGAGTGTATACCTTCATATTAAATGCGTCACGTTGCAATGTAATTAACTCCGACTCAAGCTTATTTGGAAGTGTGGTTGATGTAGTTGAGGCTGTTTCAAAGCGTTCATGAAACCATTTCTGCATCCTTTCGTGAATGAAATCAACTAGCTTGAATATGGGGTATTCACGTGCTGAGTTGTTGACATTGTTCATTGATTCTGCTGCGTTTGAAGTCATTACAGAGTGGCGGTATGGCCCACTTTTACAACGTGCCCATTTTGTTTGACCAATTTGGGATAGGTATGCACGTATTCTGTGGTCTTGCTCTTCCAGCATTTTGAAGGTACTCCTCGCACTCCACCTCAGTTGCTGCACGTGATGCTTTTCTGAACTTCCAAGTTAGGTCTTCTTTAGGACCTTTGAATTTCGTGCGCAGGTTTCGGGCAATGTGTTCTGTACAGTACCCATGACCTGCGTTCGGGAAACTGTTTTGAACGACATGAATGATTCCCTCGTGACGGTCAGACATAATATAAAGATCATGCCTTGGGGTCAGGGTGGTTTTCAATTCACTAAGAAACCACATCCATGAGTCCTTATCTTCTGCATCACATATTCCAAAGGCGATGGGGACAAGCTGTTTATTGGCGTCCTGGCCGCAAGCGGTTAATAGTGTGCCTTTGTAGTAAGATTTCATGAATGTCCCATCAATGACAAGAATTGGGGCACAATGATTCCATGCTTGTCTCCACGGGGCTAAAGAGAAGAACAAATACTTGAATCTCTGATCTTCGGACCTAGTCAAACGGATAGAAGAGCCAGGGTTCTTTGTCTCCAACATATAGCAAAGAGATGGTAGTAACTGGTAGGATTCTTCGTCGGAGCCGTACAACTTCTTCAATGCCTTCTGTTTGACGAGTAGTGCTTTCCTGTATGACATTGCAATGCCAAACTCCCGTCGCATGTCGTCCCATATGTCATTAGGAGGGTACTGTTTCCTGGTAGCCTCCACATAACAATGGAGGACTAGATCGGCTAAAAATGTTGACGTTGCTTGCCTGTGGTCACCTTCCCGTAAGTCAACAGGGCACGAATGGTATGAATCAAACCTTTAAACAAAAAATCAATATATTACATGATCGGTGTGCAGAATGGTTATACAAGAAAAGTGAAATGTGGAGTAAAAAGGTTTATAACGATTAGAAGTATTGAACATTAATGAATTCAGTGGTTCTTTAAGATACCAAAATTGGAGTGCACATGTGTGAGGAAAGATTGGTGTGGAACGTGTCTGTAGATTGGCAGTGATTTTTGTGTTTATATATCTTGTGGATGATGTGGGCAATGTATTAATGGCTATGCAGTAGTGTGTGAAAAAAGGCAGGTTGGGGGCGTGTGGGGTTCTAACACTGCCTTTTTTTTAATTTTAGTTTTTTGTGGTTGTGGAAGTGATTTGGTTGTAAAAATTTGACTATAAACGTGTGAAATCAGCAAGTGGTATGGTAGTGATGGCACAATGCGCGCCTGTTTGGTATGGTTGTATTGGCCATGTGGGAAATGTAATGCGTGTTATATGCATGAATGTGTGAAAACGCAAGGAGGGGTGGGGTGGAATATACTGCCATTTTTAAAAAGGGTGGTATGGGTGTTAGTAGTTTTTTAAATTGGGGTACACACATGTGATGGCAGTGATAGATATGGAAGTGGGTGCAAACGGGGGGGGGGGGGNTAAAATTAATGTACTCAAAGTAGTATTTACCTGCGTATCTGGAACAACGGGGAATTGTCAAGACTAACCGCACGAACTGCCCATGAACACCTCGCATCAACGCATACAACGTGCAACACCGTTCTATTGGACCTCTTTGTCTTGTACTGAAAACTATTAGACACTGCATACATTTGTAGATGGTGGTATAAGTCTTGCTTGGACTTGTAAATGCTGTCAACTTGAAGAGTGGTTGGGTGATAGTGTGAAATAACGTCCACTGGATTTGTTGGATGTCTCCTTCGTTTGGTTTGGCTGGTTCGTTTCATGCTGTTTGAGTGATCTGACTTTCCACTGGAGATTTTGATTGACATGTGGTTTGTGTTGCTTTGGCCCGTTAAGTTGGGAGTGGAGTCCACACTATGTGAATTGTAACAGATGTTGATGTCAGGGGAAAGAGCGCATGATGAATTGGCTTGACCATTTAGCTGAGCAACTGTAGCAGTAGGTAAAACCTCCATGCATAATGGTAGGTATGGCACGTCATTTTGGTAGGACTTCAGCCTCAGGTAGAATAGTAGTTCAGAATCGTCTGCAATAACGATAGGCGGTGGACACAAGGCAACCATGTAGGAGAAGCGAATATCGTTTTGATACCAGTCCATGGAAATGTCAGCTTTGATGGTGTCCATGAGCGATTTCAGAGAGACCTCATTACGGACATCAATAACAGTGTCATACTTTGAACTGAAGTTTCCAAGTGTATCCCACGTTCCACCAACACGCACCAATACCTTAATATGTGAGTCCATGCCTGTTGAGCCTTGAACAGATCAAATGCTATGGTCAGAGAGATTAAGGAATATGCTGAGTTAACTCGTTCAGATTTATTGTTGTGGTGTCATGAGAGTGGGTGAATAATATTTGGTCTTGTATTTGTTAACATATAGGTTCGGACTGCCATAAGAAGAAAAACAGTGACGATAAATTGCATTTTGCCTTGGTAATGTTGATTTTGAGAGACAAAAAAGTGTGCAGGTAATATTAGAAATCAGTATAAATGTAATAGAAGAAATCTTTTTTTAATGGATGCAGTACGGCTTATTAAGACTGGCTCAATTGTTGGAAGAACAAAAAATAGAGATGGCCTTGAACAAAAAACGGAATTTTTTCACAAATAACTTAACATTGGAGAATAAGACCAACACAATAACTAATCACGGGTTTGAATAAAACACTAGACAGATGCAGCCGCTCTTCCCAAACATAACAAATCAGAATTAGGGCGAAATCATGCGAAAATTAACTAAACAAAATAAAAGATGGAATAACATGAGGCAGCGGTCTGATGATGAGCGATAGACATAGCAACTACAGAAATTAACCTGAATGTCCGGGGTGTGCCAGTAGGCGATGTGAGCTTCCTGCGAATTTCTGCTGAAATAAATTTGAATGCTATGAAATTCTTTGGAATTAGGTTGGAGAATCCGAACCTTATAGTGTTTTCGGATATGCAGCCGGCCAAAATGCTTCCTGCGATTGTATGGTTGTGGAGGTAGGATAACCATCGTTGTTCAGCGTAGTATTAGGCGATGAGGTTGTAACGGCTGATGAATAACTCCCTCCTCAATTAACGCCGGTGAAGGAGAGAGTGGCGCAAATCACTCTCCCTCGATTTGCTCATGTTACAGAAAAAATGGTGTGAAAGGCTAATTTTGGAATATTAAAATGTGTATGGCGTTGGAGGTGCTACAAAAGTAGGGAAGGGGATAGGAGTGCTATATAAGTATTTTGTAATAGTTAATGGTGCTATATTGGATGATTTCTCTAAGATTAATCAACATGTGTTTTAATTCGGTGCTTCAACATCGCTTTTTGTACAAACACATGGGGATATAACCGCTTTAAAAATTGTTGATGAGAGGTCAGGACTATTGATGATGAAACTAAGAGCGGTAAGAGTTTATCATGTTCCTGCTCATTCTCGGGGACGAAATCATTGGATGTTATTTTTCACGACTCAGAGGTTAGTTTTACATTATTTTATATTTTACATATAAATCTTTAAAAAAATGAATATAATTATATGTAAACGTTTTATATGTAAACGTTCCGATATGGAATGAAGACAATATTCTCACAAATTGTACAAATAATGTAGTCTATAAAGAGTTCTTTCGAAATTTGTAAAGCAGTGATGATTTTTACCTTAAAATAATATAAACTCTATATTCTATTGCATCTCATTTTTATCATTGAAAAATGATTTGAATTTAATAACATAAAAATAACATGTGCAACGCCCGGGTGTGATACTAGTAAACATGAAAGTTTGGGACCAAAACATATGGAATTTGAAGAAAAGAAAGAAATAAATTAAAAAATGAAAAAGTTGGAGCTGGGATTCGACCACCGGACTTCGGGGGGTGTGGAAGTGCAGCTTTGACCATCACGCCACAGCTGATCGTTTGGAAATATCTGGGCGGACAAAGATAATGTTCTATATTGAAATTCGGTCATTGGTTGAGAGAAAAATGACAAATTACCGACACTACAGGGGGAATCAAACAATGAGATCAAGTGGCGAGACAAACAGCCTCATTTCCATGTAGGGTACTGTAGCTTTGTTAACATTTTTGGGACTGTTCGTATATACTCCGTATATACGAATTTATCTATAAAATCCACTCTCTTCTCTTCTTCTAAGAGGTTGGAACCCCCCACTTCTCTACTCTCTCTATTTCGAAATTCTCTTCATCCCTCACTAATATTTCACCACTTTCTTCTTCCAAACACATAAAAATCACTCCATCTTCATCATCATCAACACCATTTATTACATTTGGAGCTCAAGAACACATCTTCCATTTTTGTAAGATTTTTATTATTGTAATAAATATTTATTTGTTTAAGCTTCAAACTATAAACTTCTAAATTCCATTGGGGTTAGAAGTTGGTGTAATTAATTGTCCATCTTAATGTTTTAAATATTTTTAACATGGATTGTTGATTTTATTTTTACTTATATGTTGTATTTAAAAATAAATAAATTTGGAATGTTTGTGATTTTTAATTAAGGGCCCAATCATAAACATAATTGTTAAAAGGAATTTGAGCTAAAATATAAATAATCATAAAATAGAACACTTTTTAAATACACCGTAAGCCTTCTCTACCTTTAACCGGGATTGAAGACTTTTGGGTGGACATAATTTTTGAGTTGTATTTTTACACCATTAAATTGGGTAAACATACAATAAAATAATTATGGTTGCCGTTGTTACTAAATAATTACTCTGGATTTATCATTAGCGTGTTAAATTCGGAGTGGTTATTATTTAGGTGAACTGCGAGAGCGTCCCTAAATACTTTTCTGCAACCCCACACATTCTATATAAAATAAATTAACAATCCAACTTTTATAAAAACATTGGACAATTAATTTACCAATTTCTACCCCTAACTTTTCATCATAAAAAAACTGTGTTGTTTGGAACTCTCTTCTTTTACACCTTTTTATTTTATCTTTAAAACCAAAAAGACCAAAATATTTTACAATTTTTTTGTAAACTTTTGTTTAAATTAAATTAACTTGCGTCTCCCTGAGGTTCGACACCCTACTTACAAGGGATTCTTTTTAGTTGTTATTTTTGCCCGTTTTATACTGCAAATCACTAGTCTAATTTGATATGATGAGATCTGATTTCATTAGATATCATCTAAGCAACATATAAACATGTTAAGGGGTTGTTTGTTTCAGCCTCTTAATGGTTCAGATGCCTGAGTGGTTCAACACCTAATAGTTCAGGCTGTTTGTTTTAGCCTCTTAATAGTTCCGAAGTCTGAATGGTTCATGCATTTGCCTCTAAATGGGTAAGTATTATACAGAGTTTGAATGGTTAAGACCTCTTATCTAAATTGATCAGACATTTGTCTCTGAATAGTTAAGCAAAATACTAGCTCTTAATGGTTCAGACCTCTTACTGATTCAGCACTTAATGATTCAGACATCTTACTGGTTCAACACTTACCTATTCAGAAGTTGTCAAACAGCTCATAAATTGAGATGTAGTAGCTTACATGAAATATGCAAGCAATAAGATCTGATTGAATTTGATTTGATCTTAAAGTATCTTATCTGATTATATCTAATCTGATAGATCTAATTCTAGTTATATTTAAAAATTCTTTCTAATTAGAACTAATATTGATTGATTTATTTTTTTTAAAAATTAATTAATATTAAATGCTTTGAGTAATTTGTTTGAAATGAAATCTAATAATTTAACCTAAAATTGAGTCACGGGGCGATGCTGTAACGCCTGGAACGAGGTGGAACTTATAAATGCTTATTGATTGATTGTGAAAGTTATACCGTTGGGTAAGAATTGACGAATTGAATCCAATGATGCAAACGGATCTCAATTTGGAGCAAGTTAATCTGAAGAGTGTGTTTTATTCAGACACATTATTTTAAATGAGAGATTACAAAACCCTAGATATATATTAGAATCTCCTTCTATTCAAATCGCCGTCGTTCTCCCTCCTCTTCCTTCTTCGATTCGTAGACATGGGTTACGGCGGCAAGGCGGAAGATTCCGACCTGCGACAATATACAGAGGCGACGATGGGGAGCAATCTGGACCAATAGTGGAGCAACGGCGAGTTCCGACAGCGACGCCGGTGACCGACCATAGTGGACCAATTACGATTTCTTCCGGCAACCCTCTGTCCAGCGACCTCTGTTCTGTCGAAGTCTAGCAGCTCCGGCAGAGTAACAACCCGCAACGATGACAGATCCGGGCGGGCTTGGGCTGTGACGGGCTTGCTTGGGCTGTGCGTGACGCCGTCTACCCTCTCCGTTCGGGAGTTTCTCTCTACAAGAACTACAGTGCTGGCCAGTGTTCACGTAACACGGTTCACAGAGGATCCTAAACTACTGCTTTCTCCATGATTTTGTTGTGTTTTTGGTGCAAAATTTGGATCTCCAGGATCGACTTCAATAGAGGATTCCATTTTTGAGTTTACCTTTTCTGATTTGGGAATGGATTTTGCTGAAATTGGTATGTCTTCTTCATCTTCTTCTTCATTTAATATTGATTATTTAAATTGTTTCCTATGGCTGCAAAACAGTGACTGCCCTCCCAAGATTTAGATTTAGTTCTCTAAATGCCTCAAGATTTGGTAGCCTGATATCATCACAACCTCTATGCACATAGAATGTCTATATTTGTGTGTATATAATCTCATATAATAGGATGCACTCCACTTGGGCAGATTTAATGTTAATAAAATGGTAATTTGTTCTTTTTTGTATGCACTTGTTTCTTCTTTTCTTGATAAATTATTATTTTAAATTGCTTGAATAATTTCAACATAAAGATAACACATGGTGTCATGTTGAGAACATGAAAAGAGACTAAAGAGGGTAAAATCCTTGAAATTCATGTCGTAAAAAAGGATAGCTTAGTGCATAAAACATCCTACCAGGTGAGGGTTTCATGCAATTGCACATACATACACAAGAGAAAACAATCTATGTTTTTTATTAGGTTTTAAGAACTTTACTATCTAGAATAGTAGAAATGCTTCTGTTTGTTTGGCTAATTGAGCAAATCATTGCAGGGTACAAACTAAAAAAAATGGAGACTTGTGGTGAACAAGATTGTTAGAGGATGACACCTTTTTTGGTCACTTGAGAAGCTTCTTTAGTACGATGTGAGATTCATTTATGTATCTATTTGGTTAGTCATATGTGTCCCTTTCCGGTGCTATGTCATTGTTAGTTGCAACAGTATGTTTTGTGCCATCAAAGGTATCTCGTAAAAAGCGAGTGATTATCGGGATTCTTCATGTGTCTGCCCACTTGGCAGCAGCATTGATCCTCACAATCTTGTTGGAACTTGGTGTTGAGACATGTATTAGGCATAATCTACTCGACACATCAGGTTACTGAGATTTTGACTGCATTCTTTTGTTTATTTTCATGTTTTATTGATAGTTAGAAAGAACATAGGACTAATGTACATAGGAATGTTCTGATGTTTGGTGCATAGGTTATCATACCCTATACGAATGGTATCGATCAGCTGAGAGCGAGAATTTCCCAAATCCTACTGGTCTTAAAGAACGTTTAGAGCGATGGACATTTGGCCTTTATCCAGCCGGCATCAAGTATCTCATGTCTGCATTTGATGTGCAAGAGTCAAGAACAAATGTTAACTACTACTGCAATTAATGCTAATCAATTACTAGTTATTTTATTTTTTATGGGTTGTGTGGGATTGCTGCAATATATTATGCGTTTGTGCGTGCAAGTGGTGTTTGAAGTACAACGAAGTTTAGCTATCACATTCATGGAATTTAATTGTTTTTTAATACTAGGTTATGCTCAATGAGGCTAACCTTCCTAAATATTTTTGGGCGGATGCCGTGAGTACCGCGTGCTACGTGTTAAACCGAGCCGTCATTAGACCGATACTCAAGAAAATGCCCTATGAACTTTACAAAGGAAGAAAGCCTAACCTTTCCTATTTTCATGTCTTTGGATGTAAAGTTTTCATTCATAATAATGGAAAAGATAACTTGGGAAAATTTGATGCTAAGCCGGATGAAGGAATTTTCTTAGGTTATTCTCTTCGTAGTAAGGCATATAGAGTGTTCAACAAGCGTACTAAGACCGTAGAGGAATCTATTCATGTTGTCTTTGATGAATTTGATGCTCGCTTGGCGAGAAAAGGTATTGTTGATAATTTTGCAGGTTCTTATGATGATGAAGAAGAAATCGTTAAAGAAAAGGAACCGGAAAAAGAGAAAATGCAGGAACAAACGGAGCTTCCTAAGGAATGGAGAACATTGAAGAACCACCCGATTGACAATGTCATTGGTGACATAATGCAGGGAGTTTCTACTCGTAATTCTCTTAGGAACACAATTAATCACATGGCCTTTGTTTCTCAAATTTAACCAACAACCGTTTTGGATGCTATTAATGATGAACATTGGTCTATGGCAATGCAAGAGGAGCTTAACCAATTTAAACACAATGATGTTTGGGAATTGGTGCCTAGACCTAATGATCATTCCGTTATTGGCACAAAATGGGTGTTTCGTAACAAACTCGATGAAAATGGTATAATCACTAGAAACAAAGCTAGGCTTGTAGCTAAAGGCTACAATCAAGAAGAAGGCATTGATTATGAAGAAACTTATGCACCGGTTGCACGTTTAGAAGCTATTCGTTTATT